ACTTGAAGTGTAGTTGCAATGTTTTATAATCAAACATAAAACACAGACTTACTTGACAGAATGTACATCTTGCTTGTGCTCCCATGCACGAAGTGTCTTATACTTTCGCACAGTTTGCTCTTCATAACCAACTCCAATTAAATATGACTTGACCATTGACTCATCCATGAGCATTGGTATGCCTGTTAAGTCTTTCTTCCATTCTTTTTGCTTCTGTAGATAAGCTATGGTTGGTAAAGTCCAGCAAGCTGACTGATTCTCGGTCTTTGTAGCGGTCGTGGATGATGTTGACAGATTTAAAGCGTTGCAAACAATGTTTACGAGCGCTTTCATCCCGATATCTTTCTCAAAATCTACAAAGAGAGCTCTACAAACTTCCTTAAGCTTTGGTTTCGTGAATTTAGAAGCATCTTTATAACAATTTGGTAGCTTTAAATCCGTTTGTTTGGTTGGAGCCGCCATTTTGATTGTAACTAGGGCTCCAAAGTTACCCCCCAAAGAGCAAGGTATTTTGGGTAATGTGAAAAAGGAGAATTGCAGACATACTGTGTTACAATATAGATTCCACCTAAACCCGCCCTGGGGCTTTAGCATGTGGAATGTTCGCTTTCAAGTGGTTCCTTTATTATTCACTTTGTCCTTGGACAGTGTTTTTTCGTCAAGTGCAGTTTTGCAGTAATTGTAACAATGTAAGTATTGTTGTTTCAAGTTGGCTCAGTGTATTTCTTTCCTATCACCTTCACCTATTTAGGTTTCAACCCACATTGTTCACCGTCAGTAAATCGCCTTTTTAATCACTAATTATGGTGTTGAGAAGTTACGATTACTGCAGTCACACCCACTCCACAATGGTAAGTTAATTTTTGTTAGTCCCCCTTTAAATTCTGTTGGCGACAACTTATCCCCACTTCTTTTCCCCTAAAAACCATGTGATCCCCCCAAATTCCTCGGCTCCTGGTGATAAATAGTGACAGGTCCTTTAGCTTCTGTTTCCACTAACTATCCCCTATGTGAATGTAACTTATCCCTGTATATAAAATACCTGAAAACTAGTTAATGTAACGATCGAAAGTTATGAAATGGAATCCAGCACACAGTTAGAGCATAGTTAATAGAGGGGACTGGTTAGGAGACCTGGCAAACATCAAAGGTGCGGCCTATTGTTTCGTATTTGATGTTGAACTGCACTGTGACGTCACAGCGAGAGTGCACATCAAAAACAAAGATGGTGGACATTGTGGAACATTTTCTCTTGTTTAGGGAATATTTGGACAGAATTCCAGAATTTTTGGGCCAGATAAAGATATCGAAGAGTAGTTTAAAGCTTCAATAAACAAGTGAGCACATATTTTGCATCTGATAAGAAAAGTTGGTGTAATTACAAAGATTTTTACTCGTTACTCCTGGCGCTACTCTATGGCCTATCGATGGTAATCCAAGTATTTATATATTTTCTTTGTCTAATTTGCTGTGTCAGACTTGAATTTTCAATTTTTTCATTTGAACTTCTTTTGTACCTTTATTTTGTATTTATTTTGAAGATTCAACCCATTTTTAATGGACAAAACAATATAGAAAAAATCATCACTATCTTCGAAAAATTGAGTCATACTCTCAGTTCAGCTGTACAAAATGTCAATATAAAATGAAAAGGTAGTTAATTCATTGGAAGAGCTTAGAGAAAACACCTCCGACTTTACCGTGCTTATATCTAAAGGTTTTAATTTCTTAAGCTTCTTTGGATAATTCATAAAATGGGACACTTAAGTACTGAACAGTGCTAGATACCTTATGCTTCATTTGTAAATAATTTTAGGTCACAACAGGGAAATACTGTAGTTTCATGTTATCATTTATTGTTCAAAGCTATAATTATTACTCTAGTTACATATATACACCTGCCAGATATGCCATAAAATTATCAGTAACTATATAATGATGTCAACAGCAGTCTTGGTGTTTCAAGATATTATTGACTTTTAAATCAAAATTTGTTTACATATTGTTCACATGTCTGAAAGATCATCCAAAAGACATCAATTTAATAATCCACTACTAAATTAAAGCATATCTTTCAAAATGTAAGATCTAATTATTATCATTATCACTTGAGGCTAACTGATACATGAATTGATTTTAACAATGAATAACTATCATTCAGTTTTTCTTCTCTTTCTGCATGGCAATTTATCATTTGTCATTTGTTCCCATTGTCAATGCTTATCCTTCCTCCCCCTGGTGTTACCGCTTTGGCATGAATCAGACTGCTGGATGCAGATGGTGTTGGCATTACATCCAAATTGGTGAATATCTGGATTATCACAATGCCTGCCAAGTCTGTGCTGGTCTCCAAAATATTGTTCAACTGGGTCTTGACAGAAGCGTTCTATCAAAATAAATTCCATTCCTTCCTGGAGAAGGAACTTTGTACACTCAATTGCAGAACGGACGGTGATTTCAAATCCCTCATGTGTCCGCCAGGTCAAGAACATTTTGCCTCTGGCATTCTGGGTGTAGTTACCAGGTTTGTTCTCTGTGCTGGTTTTCCATGAGTTCAGGTACTCCAGAAATTTCATCAGGAATTCAAATCTAGGAAAAATAATAGAAAGATTACAGTTCTGATTAATTATAATTTTGATTTATTTTGTTCTATATTTTCCATAGAAATAATTTATTAATCATATAATTATCCATATTTACTCCTTTGAATTTAAAAAATTGTCATTTTAACTAATCCACACTAAAAGCTGTTTATCTATAGGAAAGTAAAATTGGACATATGGCTAATTATATGATAAATTGGGTATTGCAAGAGATACTTATTTCACCTCACTCATTTACTAACTAAAGCTTACTTGTGAGATCCTTTCACCAGTCAAAGATAAAATGCTTACCTTCCATCCAGAAGTGATGTACATGGAGCCAGGAAGGGCTTGCATTTACGGATATGTTCAATCCTGCTTCTCACATTTAAGCAGTCGAAGAAACAATCAACCATTTCACAGAGTTTGGCAGTGCCAGCTGCTTCGGGGGGCCAAATGCTTTTAGGACTGCTGCCATTGTTGAGCTCAAGACTTGTGCAGCAAGATTAACCCTCATAACTGAATAAGCATTCAGGTTGATATGCTCATATGTAAGCTTGGGCAGCAGTTTCAGACCATTGTTGAAGTCCTCA